ATGAGCTGCAGGGCCATCAGCAATGCATATAGTTCACCTGCTCCTGATTCCTGGACGGGATGAGGAAGGGGCCCGAACGCGCTGCCCTCGCAACGGCTGCTCCGATCCATGGCCACCACAGCCCAACCAGCACGAGCCGCGCACAGGGAGGTCACATCATAGCCCGAGCCGTCTATGCATATCCTGCTGCCTAGGAATCCTGCTTCTGGCGCTTTTTCCCACCGCCAAACCTCGGCAGTGGAAAACTTGGGCCAGTCATAACCTGGGTCCGCAATCAGCGCTCTCGTCGACAAGAAGTCGTAGGCGCCCAGCTGCGTACCTCGGTCCACGCACTGCGGCAGGTCTAAGTCCCGCCTAAACAGAAGAAAGCCATCACACTGGTACAAACGATGCTTTGGCGTGCCGTCATACATGCCGCAGACCCTGCACAGCGGCGTGATGGCACGCCTGTCCTGGAACAAAACTTCCCGAGTGGGATGACCTCCTGCGACTACATTACACAAGAAAGAGGCAGCTGCATTTCTCCCCGCTTTCCTGAGGCCTCTGAGGGTGTCCACGATGGGCCCCAGGAGGGGGGGGACCACGCGATCAGGATCATCGGGATCAGGGGCCCCAGCGTGCTCCAGGAGCCTCATATGTGTACTGTAGTCTATCATTGTAGTAAGGGTGCGCTTCCCGAAGTGGTTGAGGTCAAGTGAGAAACCACGGCAAGACTCCCAAGTGTCCCAATTGGTAAACCTCCAGCCCAGACGATCCAAGGTAGCCCAGACCGCTCCAGCTGGCCCCCGAACCTTGTCCCAAGCCCTGGTAGCAACAGTAGGGCACGCCTGCGCACAGGCCCTCATGATGTGCTCGGGGACCCATTTCTGTTTCACTGCCTGTTGCCACGTCTTGAGTGGCAGGAGGTTGGCCTGGAACGCAGGGTCCATGCCCCTGGTCGGGCCCAACAAAAACTGCAGAGTCCTGGAACGGCCCCGCCCTTTGCCGAAAGAGGCCAGACCTATGATCGAGCGCAACTTCAGGGCCGTCGATGTGTTCATGCCTATGACCGCTGTGCCGTAAAAAGCTGCTGGCAAGCCTCCTGTCTTCGCCACCTTGCACGAGCCGGAGTAGCCCGAGCGGAGGCCCCTAAATCGGCGAACCCGGGGCCCCAAACTCTCCCATCTCGATCCCTGGACTGGAGTTCGGCGCCGACCTGCCGTGTAGTCAACCCCAAGGTTGCGAGTCGTCTTGACCACCTGGAATTTCCAACGCGAGAGCCGCGTTTTCACCCGAACTTCAATATCCCGAGACGTCGCCGTGATCAGGCCTTTCGTGGGAGAGATCAGGAAACCAAGTTTCTCGAGATAGCTGCACAACGTAAAAGTAGCATCGGCCGCCGTTCTCGCCACCGCCCTAGCCTTACCCGTCGCTCCGCACGTGATACCGTCCACGACATTGTAGATACGAACCGGCGGGAACTTCGATACAACCTGGTCTAACGGGTCGAGAAGGAGGCACTTTAGCAGGGTGGTGGCGAACGTGCAACCTGCCAAGATCGCCCGGATACAGGCGACAAGCTCAGAGCAGACCCTGCCCACCTGCAGGACCCTCTGGCCCCTGTACAAGCAGAGGAGGTAGCGCAGGCGGTACAAGGGAAAGCCGTGCTTGATGGCCGCCAGGGCCAAGAAGAAGCGAACCACCTTCTCATAGCACTTGGTGATATCGACCAGAACTGAAGCAGCAGAGTGCCCAAAAATGTACGCGTGCTCCATCCGAATAGCCTGCTCCCAAACAGCCCTTTCACACGAACGCCCCGTGCTTCTGACAGCTATCCCCGTCCCACAACTGAGCCCTCCCTTGTCTGTGGTCCTGCTTGGGTGCACGAGCGCATTCCAACCTAGCTGGCGAAGCTGGTGGGTGCCCTCACGACGATCGTCTCCGAACGCGAAATCCTGGAACACAACAACCTGGCCGAATGACTCGGACTGCAAATATGTCTTCAACGATTTCCAAGAAGATGAATTACAGGTGTCGATGGTCATACAACGACGAACTGCTTTCACCGAAATATCAGAACTACGATCGCCAGGCAGGTCTTGACGAGCGTCAGCAGTACCGACATTGCCCCCATCAACAGCACGGAGACTCAACGGCACCTGCTGCACATCAGGGGCCTGCTGCGTCCTGCAAAACCCTACCGCGCCCCCTGCACGCGTTGTGTCCCTCGCCTCCTGTGGAGAGGGTGCCCAGGCCGAGGCATAGGTAGGTGGCGACTTTGAACCTGGGTACCCCGAAGGGTCCCAAGGTTTGCGTCCTAACGCCATACTAGTACACCCGGTCGAGGGAGTTGACGTAGCCCTGGTACTTGGCGTAGTCGAAGGATGCGCCGCCCCCGCCGACGGCGACTGAACACGATGACGGGGTTGCTTATCAGGAAGACTGTCGGAAAAACGCGCCGCTCCCGCCGACGGCGACTGCGCGCGATGACGGGATGATCCACTCCCAGATCCTGACGAGACGTTTTTCTTGACTGCATCGACCAAAACGCGGGGAGGAGGGTGCTGGTACTCCCAAGGCTGCGCCGTGGATGCTGAAGTCGTCCACGAACTGCTTGGCCAGCGCGGGGCAATTACGGGCTGCTCCCAACCTGGTGTGGAAGTACACGCAGCAAGAATATCGGGAGGCAAGCCGTACCCCGAACATATGGCGCTCTCTGCCTGCCATCCTCGCTCCGATTCCCACCCCCAGGGCCCCTCTTGGCGGTCCCAGCGCCAAGATGACACTGGTCTACCAAGGGTTTCGTCTGAGGGGAGTCTCAGAGGTCTCATGGCAGGTGAGTCTAGCGACCAAGAGCGAGTAGCCATCCACGAAGCCCAGTTGGCAATCGTCGAAGGTGGGGCCCAGCCGTCAAAGGCCTGGCCCAGAATCACTTGCACTGGCAACGCCTGCAGCGACGCTGGACGCCTTGGCGAACTGCCTCTCCAGGTCGAACTGCTCCACGTCAACGGGCGCCGCGAAGGCCCCAGAGGCTGCCGTCGCCGAGGCCGATGCCAGGGCCTCCTGGGAAGGTGGCTGCGGCGGCCGCGGAGGCGGGCCTGCAGCGGCTGGGGCGGCACCACCAGACGGAGGGGCTGCCGCTGAGGCCACAGACTGGGGCGGAGTGTGGCCCTCGGCCGCCCCCTCGGCCTCGGCCTCCTCGCCAGTGCGGCGACGCTTGGCCGCCATTCTCTGGCGGAAAGCGCGCTGCTCCTCCACCAGCTCCTGCACCATCGTGCGAACCGCTCCGAAGGCGTCGGCGACTGCTTTCTGCTACCTGCTCGACTTCTGTCTTGCGCTTTTCGGCCTCTTCGCGCTCCGATGACGAGATCTCGATCCCCTCAGCCTCCAGGCCGAACAAGCCGTCATCCTCGAAGAGCTCGAAGCCCTCGCCGTCCAGCAGCTTGGACAGATGTAGCCCATGGCGTACAGGCCCCTGAGGCTCTGGCCGAGCTTGCGGAACACCTGCAGCGAGAAGGTTGACCGCCTCGTGGCATTTGGCCTGGCAGAGCTCGTAGTCCTGTAGCGCCAGCACCGCCTGCTTCTGGGCCTGCACGTACTGCTCACGCAGCGAGTCGGCGGACTTGACGCGCTTGTCCAGCTGCTGCTTGGCCTCTCGCATGGCGTGCTGGGCCGCCCCCACAGATGGCTGCTTGGGCTCCGATGCCCTCTGCAGCCTGTCGATGAGGCCCTGGTAGTGCTTGACGTTCTGGCCGTCCCCCAAGCTCTCGAAAGTGCGGAGCAGGCCCTGCAGCTTGGGGATGTCCTCGACCTTGTACTTCGAGTCCCTGTCGGCACTCGTGCCAGCCATGGCGCCAGGCGGGACCCAGCCTGAGGCCTGGAGCTGGAACCCCGCAGGGAGCGCCTGGTGCAGGAGAGGCGGTGGGCCGAGATAGCCCTGCGGTCCCACCTGCTTCGGGCCTGGGAGGGCGAACTGGTAGCCCTTGCCCCCCTTGGCGTCCCCCTTCTTCCCCTTGCCCTTGCCACCTCCTTTCTGTCCCTTGGCGGACTCGCCATGAGCTGGCAGGGGGCCCAGGGGCGGCAGCTCCGCCCACACGCCCTGGGCTGGCGCCTGGGCGGCTGGCTGCACGTAGGCGACGGGCGGGAGGCAGTGCTTGCAGAACCAGAAATGGGGAAGATTTTTCTTGCAACCACAGTGGGGGCACGGCGGCTTCGAATATCCGCTGCTGTCCCCATCGTGCTTCTTGAAGGAGCCCACCCAAGTCCACTGCCGAGCGTCGCCCTTGTCATCACGCAAACTAGGCTGGCCGCGACGAGAAGAGCCCATCGGAGTGTAAAGGGTAGGCTGCGTACGAAGGAAGTAACTGTAAGAACTTGCCCCAGCAGGAGCTCACAAAAGCTGAAGCCAGAAACTGGCCGCAGGGTCACTGGCGGGGGCGCGCCTCCCCCACGCCAAAAAGGCCTCAGTCCCTGAGCGAAGCGCTACGGACTTGAGCCAAAATGGCTTGAGCCAACATGGCTACGGACTCCTCCTGCTCCTCCTGCTCCTCCTCCTGCTCCTCCTCCTCCTGCTCCTCCTCATCCTCCACCTGCTCCTCCTGCTCCTCCTCCTGCTCCTCCTCCTCCTCCTACCCTTACCCCTCCCCCTCCCCCTCCCCTACCATTCCCCTTCCTCCTCCTTCTCCTCCTCCTCCTCCTCCTCCTCCTCGTCCTCGTCCTCCTCATCCGCCTCGTCCTCCTCGTCCTTCTCGTCCTCGGCCTCGTCCTCCGCGTCCTCGTCGTCCTCGTCCTCCACCTCCTCGTCCTCCTCGTCCTTCTTGTCCTCCTCCTCCTCCTCCTCCTCCTTCTCCTCCTCCTCCTCCTCCTCCTCGTCCTCGTCCTCGTCCTCCTCCTCCTCGTCCTCCTCCTCGTCCTCCTCTCCTCTCTAGTCCCTCCGCCTCCTCTTCCTCCTCCTCCCCCTCCCCCTCCCCTCCACCCCCCGTCCCTCCGTCCTCGTCGTCCTCGTCGTCCTCGTCCTCCTCCACCTCCTCGTCCTCCTCGTCCCTCCACTCTCCTCCCCCCCTCCTACTCTCTCTCTTCCTGCTCGTTCCTTCACTACTCGGTCACTCCTCCTCGTCCTCCTCCTCGTCCATCCTCCTCCTCCGCGTCCTCCTCGTCCCCTCGTCCTCCCGTCCTTCTCTCCTCCTCCTCCTCCTCCTCTCCTCCTCCTCCTCCTCCTCCTCCTGCTCCTCCTCCTGTCTCTGCTTCCGCGCCCTGTCCTCCTCCGTGCAGTCCTCCTGTTCGCTCTCGCTCCTCCTCCTCCTCCTCGTCCTGCTCGTCCTCCCTGGTCCTCCTCGTCCACCTCCTCGTCCTCCTCCTCGTCCTCCTCCTCCTCCTGCTCTCACTGCTCGTCTGGCTGTCTGCGCCACTCTTCCTTCTCCGCCTCCTCCTCCTCCTCTGCACATCATATCCTCGTCCTCGTGCCTCCTCCTCACCCCTCCTCCTCCTCGTCTCCCTCCTCGTCGCTCCCCGTCCTCCTCCCTCCTCCCTCCCTTCCCCTCCCTCCCCTCCCATAACCCCGTCCCCTCCCCCCTCCCCACCCCTCTCCCTCCCCTCCTCCTCCCTCCCTCCCTCCCTCCCTGCTCTCCCTCCCTCCTCCTCCTTCCGCCTCCTCCTCCTCCTCCTCCTCGTCCTCCTCCCTCGTCCTCCTCCTCGTTCTCCCTCCTCAATCCTCCTCATCCTCGTCCTCGTCCTCGTCTTCCTCCTTGCCCTCCTCCTTGTCCTCCTCGTCCTCCTCGTCCTCCACGTCCTCGTCCTCCTCCTGCTCGTCCTGCTCGTCCTCCTCGTTCTCCTCCTCCTGGTCCTCCTGGTCCTCCTGGTCCTCCTGGTCCTCCTGGTCCTTCTCGTCCTCCTCGTCCTAC